GATCCACATAAAGGCAAGTCTCAAACAGGATATTTATTTATTTGTGGAGGTACAGCTATCTCATGGCATTCAACAAAACAAACTTTATCAGCTACCTCATCAAATCATGCGAAAATAATTGCAATTCATGAGGCAAGTCGAGAATGTGTTTGGCTGAGGTCAGTGACTCAACATATTCAAAAAAATGTGTGGTTTTTCCCTTGAACAGAAGATTCCAACAGTATTATATGAAGACAATACAGCATGCACAGCTCAATTAAATGGAGGATATATCAAAGGAGACAGAACAAAATATATTTCTCCAAAGTTTTTTTTCACTCATGATCTTTTGAAAAGTGGTGATATAGATGTTCAGCAAATTCGCTCATGTGACAACCTTGCTGATTTGTTTACCAAGACACTACCGACTATAACATTTGAGAAGTTAGTGTATGGTATTGGAATGCGCAGACTTAAAGACTTAAAATGATGTTATCATTAGGGGAAGTAAATATTATGTACTCATTTTTCCTTCACTAGGTTTTTATCCTAATGGGTTTTTCCTAGTAAGGTTTTAATAAGGCACAATGCTTATTATGGACATCCAAGGGGGAGTGTTATGAATATTGCACAAGTGGATGTCCATAACCCCTAACCCTTAGAACTCTCATAGGATTCCTTACCTTCAAGTTTCATAAACTACATAACCTCCCTAATGAATGATTTGAGAGGAGTTTCTCATTGTTAATGCCATTATGATGTTCTTTATTCCTTTGTAACATTAGTATAGGACTTCAATGCTTGGACGCCTATAAATAGAAGGCATGCATGAGACATTTGTACCTTGAACCAAAGTGAATGAGAAAAGGCCATTGTCTTCTCTATCTCTTGCTATTCTTCATTCTTCTTATTTCTTGTAGTTTTACAACAATTTTTTTTAAAAAAACTTTTTAAATTTACTCTATCGTAAATCTCTTAAACACTAGATGAAAATTTCTGAACTATAACATCAATTTTTCGTAGCTCTTCAATCTATTGTAGATCAATTTAGTTCTCTTGTTTCAACCTTTCAGTCACTCGTACTTTATACATTTTTCATTTCTACTAAACAGTCTTTTCTAAGTTTTATTATCACACAAGTTTTTATACAATATTTCAATTTAGTTTCTTAATTTTTTTCCAAAAAGATATTTTTATCTTAAAATTATTAGTTTTAGACGATGATTTTTTTTTATGATAATCACAGTTATTTTGAAAATTAAATTTAATATGTTAACATTTGAGAATGTTTTGTCAATCTTTAAGATCTCAATGTTATTTTTTTTTGTTAATGATTCGAAAATTAAAGGAATACAAATATATTTCTTAAAGTTAATAAAATAAACTAAAACTTTGCATAAAATTAAAATCATACTTTTACTTTATTTTAATTAAAAGTTGATACCCTTCCTCATACTTCATATGAAGTCTATAGAATAATTCATATATTTTTCTTAAAAATATTGTAATAAGATCCCACCTACAAGAATTAAATATAAAAAGGTCTATTAAAATCATCAAATTATTCTAAATTCTTAAGGAACCTCATTACAAGAAATTTTATTTATTTAATTATCAAATTGCCTTTTTTTTAGTTATGCATTGATAACTAAATAAGCAATCGTTAACAACTTAAGGTATAATGATTAACAATTATCGCAACAGATATTAACAACATATTTTCTTAGCTCATAATAAAAAATATAATGCATGAGTTGTCAATATCTATCACGATAGTTGTTAATTGCTACACTTTAAGTTATTAACGATTACACTTTCAGTTGTCAATACATACTTTAGAAAAAACACTACAAAAAATATGTATTTTCTAGAGATTAAATTACGATTTTTCTAGCGGTTTTAACCGCTATAAATAGCCTTTGTAGCGGTTAGAAAAACTGCTAGAAAATCAAGTGTAAGAAACAGTTTTCTAGCAATTAAAGGAACTGTTACATAGTATGGTCAAAACGCTAAAAAATTTCTAGTGGTTAATAAAAAAACAAAAATGCAATAAATTTTCTAGCGGTTCAAAACCACTAGGAAATTTTCATAGAATCGCTAGAAAGTTGTGCACTAAGTTTTATTTTTGCTAGGAAACGAAATTTTCAAATTATCACCAAACTTTTCTAACATTATTAACCGCTAAAAATTTGGCACCAAGTGGATTGAATTTAAATTTTACAAAATTTTTCCAATTTTTTAAAATTTTTCTAGTGGTTTCAGAACCGCTACAAAATTTATTCCAGGAAAAAAATAAAATTCAAAATTTTCATTATTATAAAATAGAATATTATTAATAAAAAAACTATTAAATAGATTATATCATAGAATTATGTTAATATGTGTATTTACCAATTTATTACATGTTATATATTTAAATTTTGTGATAATAATAAGTAATTAAATTATAGTTGTGTCAAATGAATTGAATTGAATTTAATTTAATAAGATAGTTAAATTGAAGATGAGATAATTTGTAGTATTAAACCTTAACTTTTATGTTGAAAAGTGGTTGAATTAGTTGAGGAGGGCATGACAAATATAAAGAAAAAAAAATCTGAAAGAAAAAGTTAAATAAATATGTTAGTAAACTATACATAAAGATAAAAAAAGAAATTAAGATTTATAAAATAAATATCATTTTACCATATAAATAAGAGAGAAAAACTACCATGTGAGAGAGTAAGAAGAAAAAAGAGAATTATAAAGAAGAATAGCAGAGGAAGGAAAAGAAATAGAGTAAATGAATAATGAGGTGAGATGGTATTTATAGAGATTAGTGAGAATTTTTTAGCTGTTGTTTACTATTTGCAACGGTTTTATATCTTTTCTAGCGGTTTTGTTAGTTTTTTGCAGTTATGTAACCGCTACAAATGACAATTTTTTTATTTTTAAAAAACTGAACCAAATTTAAGAGTAACGGTAAGAATTTTCTAGCGGCTAATAACGGCTAAAAATTGTCAGGTAGGAGGGAAATCTGAATTTGAAATTTTAAAATTTCTTGCGACATTTCTAGCGGTTCCATGAAAACAACTAGAAATTTCTAGCGGTTCTATAAAAACTGTTAGAAATTTGTAGCGCTGCCTCCCATTGCCACTTGGATGCAACCACGTGTCCAGACTCTTCGGGGAAAAAAAAATTATTTCTAACAGTTTTCAGGGCAACCGCTAGAAACTTTAATGAAATTTCTAGCGGTTTTTGAACCGCTAGAAAATACAACATTTTCTAGCAATTCCAGCAACAAAACAGCTAGAAATTAAACGCTGGAAATATAGTGCCAACTTCACGCCAAATAACACCACAGTTGTGGCAGTCATTTTCTAGTGGTTGGGTCAAAACCGCTAGAAATATGTGGGATCTACACCATTTCTGATCAAAACGCTGTAGATTTTTTACGGTTTGTGTTATAACTATTAGAAATGGTTATTTTATAGTGTTTTTTTTTAACGGCTAGAAAGTGACTGCTGGTAATTCACTATTTTTTTGTAGTGAGACAAGGACAATTCGGTAATTAAACAAATAAAATCTCTTGCAATGAGATTTCTTGGGACTTTAAAATAATTTGATAATTTCAAGGGATATTTTGTGTTTAATTCTCTTAGATGGGACCTTATTGCAATCTTTCCTGTATTTTTATTATTTATAAATATGAAAAAAAACTTATGTCAAGTTCCTTCTAACTATTACCTTTCCAATCAGATTCTGCCATGTATTCTATTTTTTTTTTCTATATCATCCTTTGGGTTAAATACTGAAGAAAAAAATAATACTGGTGGCAAAGTATAATGGATGTTGATTCTAAAAAATTTGACCTAAGCTTTTGCCCCATCAACTTATTATTCTTCGTGCTGAGTCTGAAGAAAGACATTTGAATAATGGTCTAAATAATTTGAATAAGTAAATAATTTTTTGTATATATATATTTTTTGTTATTTTGTGAATACTCTAAATAATTTGTTATGTGTTTATACATATTTTGACAAAAAATATATGTATATATATGTTTTCTATTTTTTAGACTGTTGATTTTTTTGGCCAGCATGTAGATTTTATTGTAATTGCTTTTTTTTTTCTACTCATAAGTATTCTTTTGGAGGCAATCACATTCGAGATACTGTTTGATGTTAAATGTAGGTACATCTCTCAGTAATAATTGTTTTAAATACTGAAGAAAAAAATAATACTGGTGGTAAAGTATAATGGATGTTGATTCTAAAAAATTTGACCTAAGCTTTTGCCCCATCAACTTATTATTCTTCATGCTGAGTCTGAAGAAAGACATTTGAATAATGGTCTAAATAATTTGAATAAGTAAATAATTTTCTGTATATATATTTTTTGTTATTTTGTGAATAGTCTAAATAATTTGTTATATGTGTTTATACATATTTTGACAAAAAATATATGTCTATATATGTTTTCTATTTTTCAGACTGTTGATTTTTTTGACCAGCATGTAGATTTTATTGTAATTGCTTTTTTTTTGCTACTCATAAGTATTCTTTTAGAGATAATCATATTCGAGATACTGTTTGATGTTAAATGTAGGTACCTCTCTCAGTAATAATTGTTTAATTTTGTTATCAAATTATATATCTACATTTTTTGAAGCCTAACTAATTGTACATTGGGCTTGCCCTGCAAAGTCATTGACCCAAGGCACGGATACTCTAACTGGGCCGGTGGGCCTTTCATCCAACGGCCAGGAAATATCTTCAGACTAGCACGAATCCGGACCGTTCCACAATAGCCTCCGCTTACCCGTCCTTACAAAACCCTAATTCTTCAAAAGCCAGGCGAAGCCGTAGATTTTGCTTGGATTCAGTGGAGCTTCCGCAGCCATCGTCTAAGTAAGTAGGCATTGGATACCTGTGTTCCCTTTCAACTTGATGCTTTTTCCTGTAGATTAATCTTTGTCGACGAGTGTTCTTTTCTGAAAGATGTATAAGTTCCATAGTGTTATTGCGTTTTTCTCAATCCGCGATTATGTGTAGTATATGTGGGTTTACGTCAATTCGATCGCGTTCATTGGTTAGTCTTTCATGTGATTTATTGGTCCCTTGTGGTGGGAATGGAGAATTTTTCACATTTAGAGGAGAAAATGGTTGCGAATGAGTTAGTCTTAGAGATGATGAGTAAATCTGCAGAGGCAGCCCTTATTTACAATGCGTCTTTTAGCTATCGTTATGGGTTCTATCTGGTGTTCCTGTTCAATTGCCGCAAGCTTGGAAAATTCTGGATTTTTACTCTAGTTTAGGAGAGTTGTGTATGACCCCATTTGTTGCTCTCTTGTATATACTTCTTTTTTTTTTTTTTTTTCATGTTTTGTACCTGGAACAAGCTAACGATGGATTGAATAACTTGATTCCTTATTCCCTGATTGAGATTTTTATTTTGAATATTACTGTTTCAGATTATTGAAACTAGCTTTTTCGGATGTCATCTTGCATGAGATTGACAGGGTCCAATACTTATTTTGATTTCTTGGAATCAAGAGTTTCGCTACATTTGTTCATACACTTACCTTGTGTTTTGTTGATTCCCTATAGAAATGGGTGAGGAGGTTAAGGCAATTGTTCCCGAGTCTGTGTTGAAGAAGAGGAAGAGAGAAGAGGAATGGGCATTGGCCAAGGCACAGGAGACCGAAGCTGCAAAAAAGAAGAGAGCTGAGAGCAGAAAGCTGATCTACAACAGAGCTAAGCAGTATGCCAAGGAGTATCAGGAGCAGGTAAATATCCTTGTCCTGTCATATCTTTTGATGATAATCCAAATTTGTGATAATAACTACGTATCTCCTTACTGTTCTCCGTGTTTTCTCTTTTTAGGAAAAGGAGTTGATTAGATTGAAACGTGAGGCAAAGCTGAAAGGTGGATTTTATGTTGATCCAGAGGCTAAACTCTTGTTTATTGTTCGCATCCGTGGGTATGTATTTTTTTTTTTTTGTGTGGCTATTTTCACTATCTCTACAACTTCAAACATCACGGAACTAATACATGCGGACTTTAATCTTTAACAGTATTAATGCCATGCACCCAAAGACAAGGAAAATCTTGCAGCTCTTGCGTTTGAGGCAGGTACTACAAATGATAATAGAGCCCTTGGCAGAACTTAAATTCGTCTCTGTTACACCCTTTTGTATCTCGAGCTTCAAATTTTAGCATAGGCTCTATGGAAACTGTTTTTGTTTTTGTTGTACATTCGAGAGAGCATTCACTGAGAATTTGAAGTTCGTATTTGTCACATAAAGGAGAGGTAGTCATTGTTGTGTTCATCTGAAACAGATATTCAATGGCGTGTTTCTTAAAGTCAACAAGGCTACAATGAATATGCTTCACAGGGTCGAACCTTATGTGACCTATGGGTAAGCAGTTTTTCCTGTGTTATTGGGGTGCTTCTGGTGTTTCTTGCTCTATTCATCATGAGAGTACTCTGGTCTTTGTTTAGGTATCCAAACTTGAAGAGTGTAAGAGAACTCATTTACAAGAGGGGCTATGGTAAGATCAACAAACAGAGAATTGCTTTAACTGACAATTCTATCATTGAGCAGGTCTGTATTTGTTTATTTCCATTTTTATTTATAGTTAATATTTTTTACTGCATGCTTCTGACCATCCTTGATCTCACCTTAGGCACTGGGTAAGTATGGAATCATCTCCACTGAAGATCTTATCCATGAGATCATAACAGTTGGACCCCACTTCAAGGAGGCCAACAACTTCCTTTGGCCCTTTAAACTCAGGGCACCTTTGGGTGGACTAAAGAAGAAAAGAAACCACTATGTTGAAGGTGGTGATGCTGGAAACCGGGAGAATTTCATCAATGAGCTCATTAGGAGAATGAACTAAGCTGTGCCAGTGTCTGGTCACTAGTTAGTGGATTCAGTCTCTGTTTTGATTAATGGCTTTAGAACAATTTAAAATTCCAATTTTCTTATCAAAATTTTGGATTTTGATAATATTTTATTTCAACATGAGAATTATGAGTTGCTTGTTACATTCTAGCATGAATGCTTTTATTATGCTTAGTGTAATTCCATCTTTGGAGTTCGTTATTCCTGCTTGTTTCATTTTGGTTCTCCTACGAGCATTGCGATCTGGTTTTGGTTCTGCCTTTCTTGTTAAGTTCTGTTGTAGCGGTCAAAATTAAGTATTCAAGTTTTCTCTAGGCTAAAGTCAAGTGGAGTAATTGACGAGAAGTTAATATTGGTGTCTAATGTCCGATAACGTTCTGCTAGTTATGATGCCCCATAACAATTTCATCATTTCTCGCCCTCCCAGTAACGTATCGTTAGTTTTTATACCTGCGCGGGCAACATATAATCTAGTCTTGCATTTCGAGTTATCCAACAGAGACCTAGTGTTTTTCAGGGTTTTTGGATTACAGTGCCATTTCGTCGAGTTACAGTGTGGTCGTGGTAAAGCTAACAGTATGTGCAACTGGATGTTTTTGACTTTGTGAATCACACTGGCCGCGCTGCTTTGTGATAGATTCATTCGGGATAATGGTGGTACTTCGATGTGTGGTTCCGTGAAAAAATCTGGATCTTCACCAAGAACTGCGAGTTTGTGAGTATTCAAGAGAGATCAAGATGAGGTTGTGCGCGAACTCAGGGTTCTTGTGATGCAATCTCAACACTTGACAGAGTGCCGTGTGTGTTGGTTGATTGGGAGATTATTTAGCAGCATACCAGTAATTACTTGAATTGCTCGCTTATTCAATTTCCTAACATGGGTATAGATTCCAAGGTGATGTTCGAACCTCCGGAGAGCCACGGGAACTTGCTCCCATTTGATTCCTTTCAGCTTTTGCAGTTCCATTGTACTCTATTAGTTCTGTTTTACTTATGAGAACTAGGAAAAATCTTAGATAATTGTCTTAAAATTTAGCAATTTTCTAATTTTACTTGTCTGATTCTTGATGTTAAGAATTAACTAACTAATTTAGAAAAACTGAGGAAGCTAAAAAATTAAGGGAAAACTACGTCGTAGGTCCTCATAGTTTTCGTCAAATTAGGTCAAGGTCCCTAGAGTTTATTTACTTGGATATAAGTCCTTATAGTTTCAGTCAAATTGGCTCAAAATCCTTCTGTTAACTACCAGTGTTAAAAATAATTATGTGGCAAATAACTTAATGAGTTGGCAATTTTTTTAAGATGACTGGCCTTGTGTTCCGCAAATTGATGCCAGCTCACAATTTTAGGAACCCCCTTCCAAGATCCATCATTCGCGATTTTGGTCACAGATTGTCGTCTTCTTGCGCTTCTTCCAGATCTGAGTTTCAGATCCTTTCCAGATGAAGCCAATTTTAAATGATTTGTTTAAGTGATGGTGGAAGGCTGCACATCGCAATAAATAAAGGCATCAGACCCAGAGAGAACGCTTGGAATCTTGCATAGAGCGAGTAAATGGATGCAAATACAATGATTATATATTATAGTGGAAGGCTTTCCCAGATCTATACCTCCATCTCCGTTTTTCCTTCATTCCTTCAATATTGGGGATTTAAATGTGAGAAAAGAGTACTTGAAGATGCAATGCTTCCTCTAGTGTTTATCACCATCCCTGGACCTCTTCTTTCTCTCTCCCTCTCTCCCTCCAACTCTACAAACGAGGAAGACCCATTCTCATCTGTTATTTGCTTCTGCGTTTGGTTCGAAGATTGCTTCCAGATGCTGCTAGATTATCTCGTCTCTCTGGGTTCCTTCTTATAATCTTTTCTCAGATATATTACCTACCTCTTCATCTTTGCCCTCGTTCATTCATTTTTTTTTTTTGGGGGGGGGGGGGGTAAGTTTATGGAATGGACGAGATAAGTTTAATTGTCCCCTTTTGGACACCGTGTCCCATTTCGATGATGATAGATTTGAAACTCAAATATCCCAGGAGCACAATAAGGTGGCGATCTGGCATTCCCTGCCGGCACCAATTTGGAGGAAAAAGAAGCCCAGTCGTCGTAAAGAAATTGCCAACTAATTAGTCATCTGCCGCGTAATCATTTTTAACAGGGTTAGTTAACAGAAGGAGTTTGACCAAATTTGACTGAAATTATAAGGATGCATATCCTAAAAAATAAACTCTAGGGACCTTGACCAAATTTGACCAAAACTATAAGGACTCAGAGCATAGTTTTCCCAAAAATTAATTATAGCATACTCTTCTGATCTTATTTACAAGTCATTTTTAACATCTTTTTCACAGACAAGGAGAAATTTTAAATTTTATTAATTCTTATTTAAAATTCAGTAACTTTTTAATTTTATCCCTATTTAACATGTATTATATTTCATGTAAATAAAATCAACAAAATAATAAATAAAAGATAAAATTATACATCTATACAAAAAATTTCTCTTGATGCCTTGTAAATAAGACCAAAAAAATCCTCTCTCTTCCCTATAAATAGGACCAGAGGGGTATTATTACATAATCTCTTTGAAATACTTATGTGTGTTATATTATATATCAATTTATAAATAAACTAAATTAATTTTTAAAAATGATAAATGTAAATCTATTAAGTAATTTTTTTTTTCAAATTTTTTTAATCTCTCCAAGTTGGTTAACTGTCTCATGTTAAACACTAAAGGTAGAATCTACACTTTAAGAAAATAACAATTTATAATAACAATCTATGCAATGAAAACTAAAATAATACTAACTCCCATCTTTAATATAAGAAACAAATTAACTAATTTGTGAATGTCAAATGTGTAATCACCATAAGAATTGTTTGAGGGCAAAATAAATAAATATTGAAGAAAAAATGAATGAGTTTTATATTTATGACCAAATTAAATATTCACTTAGCTTCTATATTAATGTCAGGAGATAATATATTCACATAAAAAAATTAATAATGTAATTTGTAAATAGGGAAAAAAAAAATTCTTCATACCTTAATAGGATAGGACGGTAAAAACATGCTTTGCAAATAGACAACCATCTAGAAATGGGTACCTACAAGACAATACTACGTGTGAACCTATTTACAAAGAACAAGAAGGCCTGGAAGTAGGATGGCTCATCATTCACTGAGGTCAAGTCAATATTCTGCATGAAGCCCCACCAACCATACATCTTGATATTTCCCTTAATCAACCAAGCCATAAAGAAAAGTACAAGAACAACCAAGCCATATAGAGAAGTAAATAAGCAGAAAACTGTCTTTCTATTGAAGGCGCAGAATATATGCCTCAATTTCATACATTGTATAACTAGCCTTCCGAATTTAATTCTCAGAAAAAAATAATTCTTAGAATCAAAAGGGCACAGCCCCTTAAGTTTTTAAGAAAGGCCATTCATCAACAAAGATCACGTTGTTCTGAATAAACCTTTTTTGTAAGAACTACAAAGCAGACCTGTTTCCTGTGTCACATACCAATCTGCAGCAGAATGATCCCCCAACTTACAATCAAAATACAATGGCTTCCCAGAAATGGAAAGTTTCCGCCATGTCCGCTATAATCTGCCATGGGGATTTGCCAACGTCTTACAATCTCTACAATGGAACAAATTGGCCCTCACCCCTGAACCTTGATAAAGATGGAGGTTCAAGCTCAACCCGGTACGGTAATGTAGAACGTATCTCTAACCCGACCGTCCTTCCTTCCGGCCACCTATTCTAAATTTTGGTTTTTGTTTCTCATTCAAGTTCCCTAATTTACCTCCATCGAGCCGAGGTGTAATCCTCAGAGGGTGTGCTTCAGTGTTGAATACCCATTCATCCAATGAGATAACTGATGGGGGTGAAAAAAGAAGATAGAGATATTTCAAAGTCTCAGCTAGGAAGAAGGTCTGCATCTTATTGTCCTTGACACCGGTATTAACCTGAAACATGATCGTAGCTATATGAATATGCAGACTGGTTGCTTAATGCATACAGATGAGCAATTAGATGTGAAGTTGAGGTGTGCTTACATCCTTCAGTCCAACATATCCGGTCTCTATGCGTGAGTTCTTCTCGAAAGCTTGGAAAATATTCCAACCCCATTCTTGGTAGGTCTTATTGCCTGTTAGACGCCACAGATAGAAGAGCGACTCGACTGTCTCTGGTCTTAGAATGTTCCATGACGTACCCACACCCATGTCCTAAACAAATTCAAAATTTTAAAATGGTTATGTAACCAGGAAAAAAGTAAATTGCAAATAACAAGTGAACTAAAAACTAACCTGGCCTTCATGAAAAAAATAGTTCTCTCCAGCCAATTTAGTGGGAGTTGATTGGTAGAAGTTATAGCATGTCCAAGCAAGCTGCAAAGTAAAAGCATATATAGTCATTCCCAAACTCAGCTGGTGAGCACTTATATGACCTTGTATAAATCAGAATCAGTGCGCAAATATCCGCTCCCAATAGAGGGCAATTATCAGTAACCATTCCGGTCATATTTCCTCATCACAGTAAAAGACAAATACACACACACAGCAACAAGCTAGCATTGGACTTGGTGATCTTGAAGTGAACGGTAAAGTAGGTATTGAGTGTACAGAGTGTTATCATATTACAAACCAGCCTAAAAATTTTTACAGCCACTTTCAATTCAACACAACAGGAATATCAACAATCATTTCAATACACCGGATGAGAGTCGTTCTGTCCCCCGGGGGGGGGGGACTGATGTGGCCCCATCCTGTATATTGAACACACACCACCCATTTAAGGTGATCCAACATCCACTCATCATAATATGTTTCAAGACTTCATGGTGTCAGGAAGCATCGCACAAATAAAATTGCTGACATCAAAATTTGAGGTAAACCAAGCATCTCTAAATTGGACCAACAGAAGTCATATCATTAACCAGTGAGCTGTGCCAGTATACTAATTTCCTGGTCAAGGCCCAGAAGAGTCAGTCAAAAGAAGTCCTTTACTGTATCTTCAAGAAGCAACTAAGCCATACCTCTTCTGCAAGTGACAGAAACCTCTTCGAATCTTCAGGACCATAACCAGAAGACCCTAATGCAACCATTCCAGGTGCAAAGCATGCTAGTTCATCCATCTGCATGTCCACAATTGAATGAAAAATCATGAGCATACTCAAATCATCACATACAA